GTTCTACGACGTTGCATCTTATTGCAATTTTCTTCCATCCACGTTATTTTAAAACTACCAATTTTCAGTGAAACAATCTTTACAATAATACACATTTTCCCATATGTACAAATAAACAGCTTAATTATTCACAAGGTTGGATATTTACCAGCCGAACCACCACACTGATCAAGCCTTTACGCAATTGCATCTCGAACAAGGTTTGAAATAACTCAAATGGCACGCGACCCCCTCCACGGTCTTCTTTAAGGTTATCATGGGCAAGAAAGTATTCGGTCATAGAATGAACGCTACCAGGATTTACCTCCGAGTGAGGACGGTTCCTTCAATCTGATAAGAGGAATTTCAGGATCCCTAGAGAAAACTCTGTTACCATTCGGATCGGTCATTCCATACGATGCCGCCAGAGGAGGATCCATCACAAATCTACATGATCTCCATGCTGGACTACTTAGCTCAACCCCATAGTACACCAAATGATCTGAAACACTTTTTCCAGAGACAGACCTGTCACATTGGCAATATTTTAAAGCTTTCTTTAGATTACTAAATCCAGATTTTCATTCATAGCTCAGAAATAGCAACCAAGTTCCAGAATCAAATCCATAATAAGTAATGCCGCTCATCAAAATCTGATCAAACAAGAGAAGAGTTACCTGCTACAAGACGGGTCTTCACCAGAACCATCACAAACCTTTTCAACTTGATAAATGAAACTTCCAAATCCAACATCATAAAGCCACACCTGCAGATTGTTGGGACTTCTAAGTTACTTAAAAGGGACTAATTTAGCAGAGAAATATGTAATGTTTCTGCCATTTGAGTCTGAAATGTGTACAACTTTTAGGCTTACTGGCATTGAATATATACAAGTACCATTTGCAGAGCCCTAAAGAAGCATTAGTTTTTTTTTTCAGCTTCACAATTGCAACCAAATATTAACTACAGTTAGATCTCCTTATAACTCAAGGGAACAGAAGTACAACTCTTATCTTCATCTTTAAAAAAATTTTAAAACTCTCTTGAAAGTTAAATTTAATTTTACAACCCTCATTTCACCGATAAAGGTAAGACGTACTGTTTGAAGGATATTTAGAAATGTCTTCCAAGAGCAGAGAGATTTAACATTGTTGTGTTTGCAAACGAAAGGAACTGCTAAAAAAGGAGATTGTGCACGATTTTTCCCATCAAGTTCACACCATCACATGTCCTAAGTAGCTTTGTATAGTTCAAAGTATCAATGAAACATACCTCTCTAGGAAAATGGCGATATGTCTTTCTAGGAAAATAAGAATAAAATGGAGGCAAATGGGGGACGATATCATTTCCATTTGTAACTCGAAATGTATTTGGCACTATATTGCTATAGTAAGATGCAAATACTGCATTGCCAATACGAGGCTGTCCAAATGTTATAACCTGGACATTCTGGTAATTGTGGCTAACCTGCATTGAATAGAAAATCATCAGCATAATGCATCGATCAAACAAGAGAATCTAAATTAAAACCTAACATAAAAACATTCATATCTTCCTAAGATTCTAAAAATATTGAAAACAAGAATGTTCAAGCACCATTTAGGTGGTTTGACGATAGCTTTCCATTCTGTAGTAAAAGAAATGTTCAAGCGCTAAACAGGCAGTTAAAATATATTTTTAACTTCAACCACAAATGACTACTGGAGTATGTTGACTAATTTTGCAAAATTTTAAGACTACTAAATGTCAAAGACTTTTGGCCATCATATCTTTCAGAAAAGCAATGCAACAATTATCAAAGTTATCAAGCAATGAAGAAGCTGTCGTCACGTACTGCAAGATCCAGGCCACAAAATGCTGCCATTGCCCCTCCCATTGAATGTCCAGTCACCATGATGTCAAGGTTACCATAGAACTTCCTGGTTCTTTCAACAGCACTTACTATCGCAGGGCGTATTGTTGTATTGTGATAAGCAAAATAAAACCCATGGTGCACCTGAAGTAACAAGAACTGAAGTTATTGCGTCCCTCTCTAACAGCTTAACATTGAGTTTTAGTAAAAAATGATGAGATGAAGGTTCTCTTCAAGGACTGAGGTCTGAATCCTACTTGAGTACTGTTATTAAAAGAAAATCAAATAAAAACTAAGAAACACCACAACACAAGTAGGAGGCTATTTAGAACCTTAGAGTAAATGGAAATTCTGTGAACCAAGAACTCTTAATTATTTAACTCCTCTGTTCTAGTTAGTTATTCCTGATCGTGAACTTTGTACTCCTTATATCTGTGTGTGTGTACTTATATATGTGAACTTTGTATTCCTTTCTAAATTAAATATTTTAGAAGTTCAAAAAGGTTCTTATATCTTTTTTCTAAGGCTTCAAATAGATTGCATGTCTTGTCTGCAACTCTATTCTCTTCAACTTGTTGTGTTTTAAAACTCTAAATTAGGCTCATCTCCATGCTCCCAGTGCTCACTTAATACTTCAATATGATATAAAAGAAATATCATCCAATGGTAAAATCTTGAGGTTTTATACAAGCACTAGAAGTAACTCCACCCAATGTAATCTTCTTTTATATTATCATAGAAGAGGACTTAAACAAGCACTAAGAGTATGAGGTGGACAAGACCTACAAGCTTTTTCAAAGACAACTTTCAATCTAGCATATGCAAAAGAACAGATAACAGAAACTTTTCGCAACACACACCATTGCATCCGGCATGCCAGGGTACATCTGGTCAAGCTGCTTCCAGTATAGGTCTTCAATCCAGTTCTGTATGCTGTAAATAAGGTTTAAATACATAGATCAGATCATCACCAACCCCCAAACACCAGAGGTGTTAATATGGTTATATTTATCTTTACAAATCAACAAATGATTTGATTAATTAGTTTCATCAAATAGAAAGCAAGGACAAAGTTACAGAAAAGCATAATACCAGTGGAATAGTTTACAGGGAAAACTTTGTATGCTTAATCAATAGTTTGTACGTTCAAAGTGTAAAGGTATTACTGCCTTTAGATCAGTTTTTTCACTCTCTAAATGAAAAGGCTATACACCAGAAGCAAAATGAAGCTATTTTTCCACTATAAAAGACCAAATCATTTGTTCCAATGAAATTTTGCAAACCGATAAACCTCAATTTGCTCACCTGTTTTCTTGAGTTCCTCTAAAAGCAATAACGATAGCATTAAGACTCTTTGCTACTCCGACATATGACTGCAGCAAAGTACAAAAACGATATCACAACAACAAATGTCAACCAAGCTCGACTAGTTTCCCAAAAACCATCCAATGGAATATACCTGTAGGCAGTGCTGGACATCAACAACCAGTTCTATAACTTCAAACCCCTGTTTTTCCATTGGAAATGAACATTAGTGCCGATTATTTTGACTAAAAGAAAACTAACTGCCTCAATATACACAAAACTTGAATATCAAAGATGTCTAGTACTTGTCTACACCCCCTGAAAATCATCGGATTACCTAAGTACCTGAGTCAGGTCATCACATCTTGAGCATGTCCAAGTAAACAGTTCCGTTAAATCAGATATGTACGCCTGAAATCCCAAATTGCTTAATTCAAGCGAATGACGTAACTATAAGTAGCACATAAGATGAGGAACAAAATAACCACCGGGCATTAAAAAAATAAAAACATACCGCAGAAGCATATTGCACCAAGATTTCCGCAAGAGTATGGTTGAAAGAAATAGCATCCCCGCTGTGCTTGTGGTTCAATCTAAACTCTGAATTTGAGGAGTTCAAGCACACCATAAGACGAACTCGAAATTTCAGCCAAAAAAAACATATATATACACTAAATTAAAAACAAAAACAAATCAAAATGAAAAAAAAAAAAAAAAAAAATGTTGAACGTATTACCCCTTCCGACGGAAAAAGCGACCAGACAAGCAAAAATCGCCACCTTCAACCACCTATGCCTCTCCATACTCCAGAGTACTAAATGAATCATTAAAAACAACAATAATAAAAAACAGGAAACAAAATGCAAGGCGATTAAAAGGAGAATCATCAGACACCAAGAAATGGACACTCGGCTCATCAAATCGACAAAATCTCTCAAAATTGGAATCACACTCCACGAGCAGGAAAATTAATTGAATAAAAAAACAATTATGAAAAGAAAAAAGTTACAAGAGCGAGCGAAGTTGGAAAAGGAGAAACCAGCTAGAGATTCAGCGGCTCTGCCAATGATCGGAACGTTCAATTACCGGTGACGGCACCGACTTCAATCAAGATAAGAGAATTCAGCGTTTCGAAGCAGTAGAATCAGTTCTTGCCGGAGAAGGAAATTCTTCGGCAACAAACGGAGGAAGTTTAACAAAGCAGGAGAAAGACGGAAAACGACCTGAGAAGCCGACGGATTGCGTAAATTTAAATCGTCGTTTCAATTCCAAAAAATGCCCTTACCTCTAGACTTATTTACGCTTTTACCATCCAATTGAGCCAGCTGTTTCTGCGATGGATTCGCTTCTCTTAAAATTCTTTATTTAATTTTTCAAGTTGGACAATTAAGGGCAGTTTAAGGGACCTTGGATAAAATAAATAAATAAATAAATAATTTTATTTCTTTTTTTTTTTAACTTAAATATGAAAATTTTCAAGTAAGTCCCATATATATTATCATTTTTCAATTTAATCTCTCATCTTTTAAAAATAAAATTTTGTCCATACTAAAGTTAAAAAGCACAAATTATTTGTTTTTTTTAAGGTTAGGGCACAATTTCAAAAGAAGGAAGATAATTATTATTTTTTTCAATTTAAATATTTATAAAAGCAGAGATATTTAAAATTATTTAAATTAAAACTTTAAAAAAAACTAATATGTTATAATTTCTTAAAAAATATGAGGGTAATTATGTAATTAGGTCAAACGATAATTTGTCTATTACATCTTAAGTATGTGACATTTAGGGGTGTTTGGCACGTAGATTTAGGAAACTTGGTTTACAAAACTTATTATTTGGGAATTTGGATTTGGAACGCAAATTTAGAAATCCTGTATTTATAAACATCATGTAATCTTCGAATAAATGAATGATACACGGATGAACTAAACTAACAGCCACGTATAACAATGGAAACCCCACACGAAACTCTATTTTTTTTCCAATATTCATTCCGATAGTCCCCATGAAGTTTCAGACATCTCCAACCGACCAACCGACCAACCTAACTACGCTCGACACCTCGATTTGATTACACAATTCTCCCTCTTTCTTTACCTCACCATTGTTGAAGAACCAGCAGCAAGAACAGTAAAACAATGCCTTTTGGGTTGGACTTGCAAATGGAAGATAAAATACCTGTAGTTGTGTTTGTAATATGAATCTTTCCTTCCTCTTCTTCTTCCTGCAATTTTACCTGTAGTCTAGTAGGCACTGGCAACTTCATTTCCTAGCAGAAGATCAAGCAAAATGTGATGAGAAACGAGAAACGTCGAGCTTCATCGCTTTCATTCTTGTGAACTGTCGAAGCTGCCTTGCGCGTTTGCCCGGTTTCTATCTTTCCAGTTTTCACCCCACATTTTTGCTTCTGCAACTGCACGTTCTCTGTTTACGTCGCGGTTCTTCGGTGTTTCCCTTGCTCGTCCTGTATATGCAGGACTGTCTCGTAGAGACTCTTGTTGTTCTAACTTATCCAATTCCCATTTTCGACCAGACCCGCCTCCCGTGTCAATTCTGCTTAGCTCGGTACCTCCAGAGTTTCTGTAGTTTGACGGGGAACAACGTCCTCGACCACGCTCATCAGGACTATCCAATCCATCTGGCACGCCTCTCCGCTCATCTCGGGATTGTGGAGTAGTAACACTCATTCGATTGCTTTGAGAAGCAGCTGTATTAGGATCATAAGTTTGCGAGGCTAAATACGTCAGAGCAGTAACTACGTCCCCGATTAGAGGTCGAGTAGCAGCCTGCTCTTGCAAGCACATTGCCGCAACTGCCAATGCCTGATAAAGCCCCCGCGTGGGATAACGACCTTGCAGCAGCGGATCGGCCATCTTAGGGAACTTTCGACGATCTTTAAAAAGTGGCCGAGCCTGTATACCATTTTCCAGCAAAAGCTTTGAGTGATTAATACAAATTGAAATGCACAAAGAATGAGAACAGTAAAGAAAGCATACTCACCCACGCTACAAGATTATGCTCTCCCGGACCTCTGGTATTATCGATCGCCTTGCGCCCTGTGATAAGTTCAAGAAAGACGACTCCAAAACTATATACATCTGACTTGAGAGTGAGTTGACCAGTCATAGCATACTCCGGAGCACAATAACCATATGTTCCCATTACTCTCGTCGAGACGTGAGTCTTATCACCAACTGGACCTAGTTTCGCAAGACCGAAATCTGACAGCTTGGGATGGTAGCCCTCGTCTAGAAGAATATTGGACGACTTCAAGTCCCGATATATAACAGGCGGGCTCGCTTTGTCATGCAAATATTCCAATCCTTTTGCAGCACCAGCTGCGATCTTCATTCTAGTATTCCAATTCAAGGGCTCCTTATCTGGTGGAAAATCTGAAAATAGGTACAAAAAGTAATCAGAAAGGTTTTGAAGAATACAAATTGATGGATAAGTAAGAATGTTTGTGAGATCCCATATTGGTTGGAGAGGGTAATGAAACATTCCTTATAAGGGTGTGGAAATCTCTCCCTAGCAGACGTATTTTAAAACCTTGAGAGGAACCCCGGAAGGGAAAGCCCAAAAAGGACAATATCTCCTCACGGTGGGGGTGGGCTTAGACTGTTACAAATGGTATCATAGCCAAGTTCCAAACGGTGTGCTAGCGAGGACGCTGGACCTCAAAGGGGTTGGATTGTAAGATCCCACATTGGTTGGAGAGGATAACGAAGCATTCCTTATAATGGTGTGGAAGCCTCTCCCTAGCATACGCGTTTTAAAATCTTGAGGGGAAGCCTTGAAGGGAAATCCTAAAAATGACAATATCTGCTAACGGTGGACTTGGGCTGTTACAATGTTTGACTCAGAAGTTAGATCTGTGATAAGACATTGAGCCATCTACGACAGGTTGGTTCGATTATCTTGGTCTCAAACTTTCAAACTCCAAGAGTCGCATAGACGTACACTAATAATAAGAAAGATCCATCTAACATCCTAATTAAGTAAGAAACGGTATCGTAAGGAAGAGTGGTCTTTCTGATCCACTAAGATTTAGCCCTTCATTTGGACATGAGAGTTAACTCACTCTTAAAATAGATGGTGGGAGATACAAACGGATGAAGGTGGTAACAGCTATAACAACCCAAGCAGATATTGTCCTCTTTGGGCTTTCCCTTTCGGGCTTCCCCTCAAAGTTTTTAAAATACGTCTGCTAGGGAGAGGTTTCCACACCCTTATAAAAAATATTTCGTTCTCCTCTCCAACCGATGTGGAATCTCACAATAGCAAATGAAGATCCCCACCCACCCCAACACATAATCTCTATGTGCACGTCTATGATGGTGTTGGTGGGAGCATCTAGCAAGCTAGTATGTCCTTTAGTGCTAAATTTGTGATTAAGATAGCTTTCATATTTGAAACTTAAAAAATTGTTCCTATCACAAGATGAAAGAAAAAGAAGGGATAGATATCAAACCATGTAAATGATCTTCCAACGACCCCAATGGCATGAACTCGTAAACAAGAAGCCGTTGATCGCCATCAGCACAGTAGCCTATCAAGTTAACAAGATTTGGGTGATGTAACAGGCTAAGCATTAGAACTTCAACCAAAAATTCCCGATTTCCTTGGAGACCATTACGGTCAAGCTGCTTCACAGCCACTACCTGTACAAGAGCAGTCATTGAGAACTTATATTTCATGTCATAAATTTGTTTCACATATAAGGGCAATCAAGGATGTTGCCTCAACAGGGCAGGAGACTTTCATGAAATCCCACGTCGATTGGATAGGAGAACGAAGCATTCTTTATAAGGGTATGGTTTACCTTAAAGGGAAGCCCGAAAGGGAAAGCCCAAAGAGGAAAATATATGCTAGCGGTGGGCTTGGGTCATACAAATGGTATCAGAGCCAGACACCAGGCAATGTGCCACAGAGGAGACTGAGCCCCGAAGGAGGGTGGACACGAGGCGATGTGCTAGCAAGGATGTTGGTCCCGAAGAGGGGTGGATTAGGGGATCCCACATCGATTAGAGAAAGGAACGAGTGTCAACGAGGACGCTGGGCCCTGAAGGGGGGTGGATTGTGAGATCCCACATCAATTGGAGAGGAGAACGAAACATTCTTTATAAGTGTGTGAAAACCTCTCCCTAGGGGACGCGTTTTAAAAACCTTGAGGGGATGCTCAAAAGGAAAAGCCCAAATAGGGCAATATCTACTAACGGTGGGCTTGGACCGTTACATGATCGGTGCCCTTTACATCCAGTGCCCTTTACATCCATTGTCATAAATCAATTAAAGATAATGAACTTCAATATGCGAAAAACAATATTTTACCTGTCCCGTGCTGTCCAAGCGGCCCTTGTAAACTCGTCCAAACCCCCCTTCTCCCAATAAGCATTCAGGTCTAAAGTTCTTTGTCGCTGTAGCAAGCTCCCGAAACGTAAACGTTTGAGCTGCAATATGTGCCGTTGTTCCATCCTTTTGAACAGTTGGTTCGTTCTTAGCATCAGATACACTCCATGTCTTCGATTTATCTATAAAAACCAGCAACTTAGACATCATGCCAACCATACTAAGCTAATTCAACATACATTTTGCCCTTTCTATAGCCTTAATCATTTCACAATGTCAAAACATTCACAAAACATCACTAAGCCAAGAACAAGATAATGAGGAAGTTAACAAAACAGCAAAAAGATAAAAACAACAAAAATTTGAACGCCATTGAATTCTTCAGATCAAAACCACAAAAATTTCTCCAAAAAACCTATGAACAACGAAAACAGAACGAACCAGCAAATTGCCACAGTTCAAGGAAGCCATAGCCATGAAAACAAGCAAAACAAGCAAAACCCTAAAGAATTAACCCTAGAAAATGATAAGAACGCCATTGATTTATCACCTGAGCTCACTCTGCTAACACGATGAGACTGGGCAGTGGCGCCATCCTTAGCTGAATCCTTCTTAGTAGCTTCCTTTGCGCCATTACGATCGGAGGATCCAAAACAAGGAAAACAACCACCCATAATCAACTAAAAACAAGCAAGAAAACCCCAAAAAACCCCAATTACAGTGCCGAATTAACTAACTTAAAGTGCTCATAATCATATCCAACCCCTAAAAATCGGTCCTCTTCCTGACCTCCTCCATCAAATCGCACTCTCCCCTTACAGGGAAAGATCGCGACGAACATTTCTGAGAAGCAGATCACCAAATCGAAGAAACTGACATCGTGAAAGAGTAGTAAGGTAAAGAAAAAGAACTGCGAAAACCATTTTTTCCTTTTTTTTCCTTTTTTTCTTTTTAAAAAATACTCGATTAAGTACAAACAAATAATAATAATAATAATAATAAATAAATAAATAAATATTTATATGGTATTGAACTTAAAGACCAAATCTGGGTGCAATTAATTTCTTAACTGCAAATCCATAATTATTTTAAACAATTTATTTATTTTTATTTCTACCGAAAAGGAAAATTAAAATATTATTTTTACATTCATTAACGGTCGGAGGAGTGGGTCCCACATTTGTGACGGACATTCTTAAACACATGCTTTAAATCCCATCTTAATGCCTTCTTATTATCCAATAAATAAATAAATAATATATATATATACACACATCGTGACTGTTGAGGTTGGGAAGTCTCGTTCACTGAAACTTGTACTTGAATTAGCTATTCCGACTTAAAGAAATCTCGAGCCAGCACGTTAGAACATAAAGTCAAAAGTTTAGCTTGTTTGATCTTCACGCATTATCGTTAACTATTAGGGAAACATGCTTATACTAAAGCCAACGTACTCGTCGAATAATATGCTGATTACTATTTCAAAAGTATACCATTCGATCCTCTTCTTCACTGTAGGAGTTTCGGTTAGAACAAGTTCACCAACTTCACTTACTCCTATAAGAGATTTGGTTCGAATCGCTTACAATACACAGTTCTATAAAGGATGAGATGGGTAGGTAGGGAGCGTTTTTCATCTTATTTCATTTTATAAAATATAAAATAATAAACAAAATAGACATTAAATTGCTCTATAATAATTTATATATTTGTTTAATGGGTAACTATAAATTAATTAAAAAAAACCCATTCTCATACACTAAAATCCATACAAATTAATTAAATTATTTTTTTTTAATTTCTGCCATTTTATATTTGAGGATATCTCACATTATTTATTAAACATCATATCTTTGTCCTCATCATGTCGTTAATATAATAATAATAAATTTAATTTTTTTAAAAAATCTCCATTTTGGGCTTATTGGGCCTAAGTTTACAAATACCTATTTTAGCCCAAGCCCACATAAAATTTGAATTTTTCTTTTAACATTTTGAGTATATATTGGCATGACTGTGATACCATGTTAGACGAATACAACTCTGGTATGATATTGTCTACTCTTTGCTTTCAGTTTTCCCAAAAGGTCCTCATATCAATGGAGAGAGTATTTCTTGATTATAAACTCATGATCATTCCCTAAATTAGCCGATGTGGGACTTTCATCCTCCGACATACGTAACCTTATTATTTTTATTGATAGGATGATTACTTTTTTTCTCATAATTTTTTTAGTTCAATATTAAAAATAAATAAATTCGAATATCTAATTTTTTTAGTAGAAAATACACGACAATTATTGTTAAATTGCTCTTATTTTATCGTCTGCATTAAAACCCGACGTTGTAAGCTAACTAGGGGGATGTTGGGATTTATCCCATTTTCTTAGCCAAAGAATATATTCTTATTTTTTTAAAGAAAAAAAAAAATCTGATCCAATCTTATTTATTGATTAGACATTGGAATATAAACCAATCTTTTTCAATGCTTACACACCACATTACCGTTGATGTATTGTTGCATAATTCCCACGAATTTCCCAATAAATGTCCTCGTGACGCTCACGTGGGCCCCACAAATTTTCTTTTTTTTTTCTTTTATTATTTATACTTTTAATTTATTTACCTTGAATATTAAAAAAAAAAACAAATATTTAAATATTATTGTTCTGATTAATTTAATATTCTAAATATTTATGTTTACAAATAGCATATATATATATATATATATATATATATATATATATATATATATGTATGTATATATATAGATATATCGAGGTGCTCGACTCTTGGTCTAAGGAGTAGAGACAAAATAAAAAAGATATTCATATTCATTTTTTTCACTTTCGAGAATAATATCGTCATAAAATCTTTTATCTTTATTATTTTAATTTTTTTTAAAAGCATAAAATTTTATACTTTTAGAGATAATTATCAGTATAACGACCTAACTTCGAAAATATGATTAGACTTGAGTTATTGTCGTATGCATGTTACAAGAGTTTTTCAAAATTTGATCGAGTTGGAAATAATTAAAATATAATGGCTTTCGAAGCAAATTAGGGTTAATTTTGGGATAATTAAGCCTAAAAAAAAACATAAATTCTTCTTATTTCAAAATGAAATAATGTTGGCATAAAATATAAAAAAGAACGGGAAAAACGGATGTGAAAATGAAACTCTATCGTATTCTTCATGGTTTCTATAATAAATGCTCGAAAAGTAAAAAGTTTGGGAAATGAAATTATTGATGGGTGAACGATGGGGATCTGATTGTCGGTCTGCTTCAGAAAGCAAAAATTAGGTTATGTTTGAAAGATGTCGGATTCCCGAAAAGTGAGACGAGGAATTCTAGAACAAAATAATCCAGCTAGAACAACATGGTCTTAAACAATTTGTTTGATCTATTTGAACCCTTGCCGATTGGAGTCGAACACTTGTTAGTTTGTATCGGAAACTTTCCAACTCATATTTGAATTTGAACAATTTTGATAAACAAATTCGAAATTATCTGAAATTGTCGGAGTTAAAAAAAAAACATACTAGAAGACAAAAATTACGATACCGTTGTTTAAACATGTCGTCTAGAGTAGAGGTTGCATCCCCCATATCATTGCTTGCTATTCAAAATCATCGTCGATCAAAGGTGCACAAGCACTAGGTTAGGTCACCATCACACAATGAGGACTATTAAGATCGTAAGACTAATAATCAACTTAAATCGATCAAATTTAATAATATTAAATTAAATAATTAAACGTAATTAGATTCCTGATCATATCTATACGATCTCGATTTGACTAGTAACTATTAATCTTTATGGACAAGATATCACTACTAGCTTCTTTAAAACGATTTTATCACGACTTTAAAATAATTTTTAATACTTAATACTCTTTTAAAACTATTTTAGTCAGCTAATTAGTCAATAATATATCTCAATTAATCAAAATATCCTTCTAAAAAAATATGGTAAAAATCAATTTATATCAACAGGAGCATATTAATTTACACCTTTCTGTTAAAAAAAGCGTTAATTTACACATATACAAATTTAAAATTTTATCGATTAAACCTCTAGACTGTCGTCTATACATCAATTATCATACGATCATAGATTTTTACGAAAAAAATCTAGACCCACCATTTGAAAAACGTCAGTGATTCAAAACAGAATGAAATTAAAATATAATTTAATAAAATAATTATACGAACATACGAACAAAAATATAAAATTTAATTTTTTTGTGGAAGAACATTAAATTAAAGTTCATATATATATATATATATATATATATATATATATATGTTGAAAGCATTGATACAAACTCTACGTAGAGGTAATCATCTCTTGCAATAACCTCTCGAAAGCAACAAGACAAGAAAGGGGAAAACAGAGATACTCGGCGGCGCAGCGATCAGAGCCAAAGGGCGCCGGCTTCCTTGAGCAATTTGTTGAGGCAGCCATTGAGGTGGAGGGTGATGATGGCATTGGCGGAGCCGACGAAGCGACCACCGATGAAGACGGCGGGCACGGAGGGGTTGCAGCCGAGGCGTAAAAGAGCCCACTCAATCTCCTTCCCTCTCGAGTCCTCGTCCAGCTCGTACACGGCGGGGCTCACCCCTTGGTCGTAAAACAGCCGCTTGATTGCATGGCTCATGCAGCACGAGCTCTTGCTGAATATCACCACCGCTTTCTGTGACGCCACTTTCGCTATCCGGTCCATTTCCCTTAATGTTCTTGTGTTTTGACGCTCCCAAACTCACCGCCGGGTGATCCTATTATCTCTCTTTCAAGAAGAAGAAGACGGTTGGCTATGAGTACATGCTGGGATAATCACATATATATATACATATTGTGAACTGTATCTTTTATTTTATTATTATTTTATTTTTTTAAATATATATTTATATGTATTTTTTAAAATTTTAAAAATTAAATTATAAATTATAAATTTTAATTTTTTATCCATTAACCTTTCAACTCATTTAGACTTTCTTTCAAAACTCAAATACAATTTTAAAAATTTAAGAGTAAATTTATAATTTAATTTTTAAAAATTATATATATATATATATATATAGATTTGGATAAGGGCTAGTTAAATTTGAAATTGGGTAAGGATGAATTAATATAATAATAATAATAATAATAATAAAATTATTCGGTTATTTTAATTTGTTCAAAATTAGGGTTTTGACTTGGAAAAAAATTTGAAGCATAGTTATATAAATAAAATAAATGTGACGTATTTAACCAAAAATAATAAATAAAAAATTAATTAAAGAAAAGCAAAGGTGGGGGAGGAAAGGACATTAGATATAGGGGAATTTTTAGCTTTACAAAAAATGGAGTTTTTCAAAAGAGTCTTATTTTGATAGCGACACGTGCGGTTCGGTTTAAAAGTGAATTAATAAATTAACCGACAACTGAAAAAACGACATAGCTTAACTATAACCCGACACGTATGAACACGACAAAAATTTACAAGATCAATTTTAATACCTATAATTTTAAAATTAAGTTGATTGATTCGTTGAATGTAATGTTTAATAAGAATTCGATTAGAAATTTCAAAATATACGACAAAAATTGTTTTAATACCTATATTTGATTTAAAATTAAGTTAATTAATTCGAGGAAATTTCGAGAAGATTTTAAAATTAGGTCAAGTAATTCGAGAAAATTTTCAAACGTGTCAAGAATTACGAGGGTTTTTTCTCTAAATTTTCACTGATATTACTCTCGACCTATGAGACTGTAACTCATGTCTTATCAACATCGAGCTATATTCAGATCCACAACACGTATAATTTTGAGGAAAAAAACAAAAATATATATTTTTCGGACAAGACAAATGAATGAAAACAGAGCTCGATTCCTCCTCCTTTGTTCTTCGCTCGGTCCTGAAATGAAAAAACGCAAGAAAAGTAAGAAGAAAAGGAAAGCGAAGACGAAAACGATGATGTCGAAGAATGTCAACTATGGGTAAGAGAGAGAAAGAATAGGAATGTCGCCATAGATACATATGATCATATCATCATATACTTTATTTGTTTTTGTAATCTCAACGCCATTTTTCATTCCATAAGCTTCCATGAAATGATTCTTTAGAGACAGAGAGAGACGTATGTGTTTAGTAATATTCTTCGATATTGAAAAAAAGATTTAAAAAATTTATTCCATATATTTCGAGAATGAGAAAGAAGAAGAAAAGTAGAAGATGATGAATGTCGGTTCACGATTTTAGATTCTGCATGAGCTCATGTGTTCGGTTGACAAATATAAATCTTCCCTACTATGGTTCGACAAAGTCAAGCTTGAATTTCGTTTAAGGCTTGTCATGAACTTGTCAAGATCATAACGCTGCACCGTTAAATATGTACAACCACGACACCATGCAAAGTGGCCACTTATAATTTTTTATAATTATTATAATTTGAAAAAATAATTCAAGGACATTATTTAAATACTTTTAAAATTTGTAGGGTATACATTTGAAACAAAATACTAACGAGCTCGAGTAAAGGCGTTTTAAAGGTATTATTAAATATATATGGGGCTCGAGTTTTTTTTTTTTTTTTTTTTTTTTTTTTTTTTTTTTTTTTTTTTTTTTTTTTTTTTTTTTTTTTTT